GATTTTTTCGTTCACAATGTCTCCAGGAAGTGTTCTTTTTAGCCTCGACCTGGTGTGCTAGACCCGGTTCTCCTAGACTGCATTTAAGCATAGTGAACATGGTCCATCTCCTGACTGACCGATATGTTTGCTTTACAGAACTCTGGCTCTTCATCGTCCTCCACGTCCTCCGGTGTCTCATCGGGATCAGAGACGTCCACAGCGCCCAAAGCCCCTTCATTCTCCCTTCCCCGGACCCAGTTTGGTGGCTTGCCAATTGGCTGTAGGTCACCACGCCTACGCAAGGCTAGAACTGGTGTTTCGCGGAGGTCTTTACCAGAAAGACCCAGTCTTCTTCAGACGCTCCCTCCCGAGAGTCCCTCCAATAGATCTGCACATGCTGGCTGTATTATTCGGGTCAGCATCGACGGACTGGAAGATACAAAATCTGGTGCTGGCGTTATCTACAGAGGCATTTGGGTAAGTATGATGCGAAGAATAGACTGCAAAAGAATAAGATAACTCGTTGTTTTAGTTAGCCGGTTTCCCAGGTTCATTTTGATTTGAATTACTTTAAGTCTGTTTGTTTGTTTGTTTTTTATTTTGCGTTTTTTGCTTGATGAATATTCCAAAATGTTTTTGCTGGATATTCTGAAAATGTATAGAAATACACAGATGGAGCTGTCAAAAATTGATGTCTTCGCGCTTTAAACGTGAATCATACGTGTAACAAATGCGACAGTTTGTGGAGACAAACTGTTAACCCGCTAAATCCTAATATCTATTCAGCAATTCTCCTTACTTACTGCCATACTTTTCCATGTTAATTAGACATGAGAGTTTGGTCATACTCCGAAAAAAACACCTGTCGTGTCTTAATCGAGTATTGAAATCGATTCGAATAGATTATTGAGGCTGCACGATAAGCACACCAAATTTAATCCGCCATGCTGTTTTAATAATCAATCCCAGTAACCTTTGTACATCGAGATAAATCATGTAAGTCATATTGAAAGTGCACTACAATACCCTGTAGCTAATAAGTTTGTATGTCCTCCTCTTGTTGTAAACAGCTTTCGGATGACGAGCGAACACCTGCTGTCATTCGGTCGTGTTTGGAGAAACGAGAAATGAAGGCAGATCCAAGCGAGTATTTCCTTGTTCAAGTTCTTGATAATGGAGGTAAGTCTCTGAGTTTCAAAGGCTATACAACATGAATTTTCTTCGTATAGTCGTCTACAATGTCATCATGACTTTGTAGACTACACGAAGAAATTATGCATAATTATGTTTGAGAGAACATAGGAACTTTTCAACAAGAAAATCAAGGTTTGATTTTTAAAGCTAAGATGTACAATGTTCTTTGCTGTCTTTTGCGTAGATACGTGAGAACATAGTAGCGATTATAGAGACGTACGGGGGTGGGCAGGCGGTTTCCTACAGCAGCGCTCATTGGCTCATGGAA